ATAATATTATATTACATATAATAAGTAATATTATAATATCAATTATTAACAGTGTATCAAGTATATTACAACATCCATCCATCCACGTTCCAAATTAACATTTTTCACCATTGGAAATTCTCAGAGAGCATTTAACTCTGTCCGAGTTTCGCGGAATAAAACAAGATAAGCCTGAAGTTCGAAGAACAGAGGGTACCTAGCTGGTAGTTACGTAACTAGAGCATTTCAAACGCTTAATCACGGAGAATCGGTCGTTTTCTGTTGAGCAAACTTCTCGTACGATTCATGCCCGTACGTCTCTACCACCACGTCGTTGTTAATCCGACTGCAGGCGGCTTGATAAAGCAGTTAAAGAGGTCAGCTGGCAGACGCTGATCGATTGTTCCGTAATTCTTCATTTCCTGTCTCGACACGGTACCATGAATTTCAATAATCGACGACGGGGACGTTGGAACTCGGAGTCTTCCTCCTCAACTGGGCAAATAATTTAAGAATCTCCTTTTGTTTTCCGCTCTTATTGTTAAATAAGAGGCACGCGTCGCTATTTAAATTGTTCTCAAAAAGAGATTCCACATCGTTCCACACCAGAGACACCGATGATCGAAGCAATACGATTCATCGAAGACATTTAAAGTAAAAGAAAGAAAGAAATAGAAGAACCTTCTGACACATATTTTATTTATACATTTCACAAAAAGAAAAAAAGAAACACTCTGTTTTACATTTATAAAGTTTCTAACGAAAATTGACCAAAACAATAATAAATTTTTTTTCACCATCATTGGTATGGTTTTAGCATTCAAATGCGAATATCTTTCGTTTATTTTCTCGTTGGCAACGTTTGTCAAATTGTGTCTTTTCCAAAGTGTGAAAAATTCTCGTATACTTTTCTAAGAACAAATTCAAGAACAAATTTCGCGAAGAATTTTTTTGAAAATTCGAAGACTTTGAGAATCCCCAAATTACTCGAAATTCCGAATGATTAAGTTCTGGGTCAGGTGCCTCAATCTCTTGAAACTTCAGGGGAATTTTTTTTGTAATTTCGAGAATTATTTGCTATTATTATTATTATTTATTATTTAATATTATTATTAATAAATATTATTATTAATATAATATTATTAATAATATTGTATTTATATTAATATAATTTATAATAATATTATTATTAATAATATTGTATTTATATTAATACAATTTATAATAATAATATTATTATTAATATATATTATTTTATTATTATTATTATTTAATATTCAAATCTGAAAAAAAACCTGAGGTGCCTAAGATATTCCTGAGTAAATTCTACCGGAATCGAAGTCAAACGACGAGTCCAGCTGGGAAACCGGAATAGGACATAACTGTTCCTCGAAATTAATTTCCGCCTGTACGTGTGAACGGCAAATTTCCGAAATCGGCGACGTAGAATCGATCCACGATCCCATTCACTTTGCATCTCGGACCGAAAGCAACCCAATGTCACTTGACGAACTTTCTAAAAACGATTAATCATTCCCAAACGTTTCGCCGTGGTGCAAAATGAATTAGTTAAATAAATCAAACAAAACGGCGCGTGAATATAACTTTCAATAATCGATATTGATCTTATCGTATTATTTAAATAATTATTTAATGATTACTCGTGCAACTTGATTATTTGCTGGACTTCGACCTGATTTTTGCATTTTTACGTGTGTATAAAATTCGACAAAATTTTCGGGCTGGGAAGCAAAAATGTAAGTTTGAGAATGCACGTGTAATTTTCCAAATGCAGAACGATCGACCAAAAAAGAAAAAAGAAAAGAAAGAGAAGAAGAGCATCGTAATAGTGAAACATTATAAAAACATAAAAAAGCCAAAATACGATGAAACAGATCGTTGCAAACGCAATAAACACGATAGATGTAAAAAGTATGAAAAATATTGTTTGTTTGGAACTGATTCGTATATTTCTGTTTGCTGGACTTTAACCAGACACCAAACAAATTTCACACATACAAACACACACACACGTAATGCAATAAAACTCTAAAAGAATAGAAACGAAAAGAATAGATGTAAGTTTAATAAATGCAAAATAAAATCGAGTGTGTATCAGACGATCTTCGGACCACGAACAATTTTAAAGCCACTTGACCACATAGTCATAGCGATCGATTGAAGAATTCACAGTGGGACAACAAAACGAATTACAAAAATATAAAAAAAAACCAAAATACGATGAAACAAATCGTTGCAAACGTAATAAACACGATAGATGTAAAAAGTATGAAAAATATTGTTTGTTTGGAACTGATTCGTACATTTCTGTTTGCTAGACTTCAGCCAGACACCAAACAAATTTCACACATACAAACACACACACACGTAATAAACGTTGCGATAAAACTCTAAAAGAACAGAAACGAAAAGAATAGATGTAAGTTTAATAAATGCAAAATAAAATTGAATATGTATCAGACGAACAGTTTTCAAGCCACTTGACCACATAGTCATTGTCGATCGAGGAATTCTCAGTGGAACAACAAAACGAATGGATTTCGACTAGAATGGAGCGTGACGGAAACGATTGTGCCCACTCTCGCGGTGTACGCGAGATCTCCAGCCGCGAAGGCGAGCAGCGAAACGACGGCTGGTTAGGCCGTTAGGCCGTTGACACGTTCGCCTAATCTCTGTATTATCCCCCGGGGAGGTATCGAGCCGGCCGGATGCTGTTGGATAGAATTTTTACGAGTGCTGAACAGCTACAGCTCCGTGGAACCCCGCTCCGCATACCATCGCCTTATGGGCCCCCACGTGCACAGTGCTACGAGATACCAGCCCCTTCCAACACTGTTCACAGTCGGTTCGGTTGCCCTAAATTTTTCTACGTGTGCGACGATTAATCATCTGTCTGTCTGAGAGAAGAAACGAAAAGAGAAACGAAAAATCGCGACCAACGTTTGATGAAATCGATCTGATTACGATGAAAGGTGAAAAAGTCTGAAATTGCACGCTGTTGTAAGTTGTCTACGTGGAACTATTATTTGATCTAATGAAATGTTCGAGCGTGAGGTGTTGGTTATACCGGAAGTGAAATTAAAATTATTGTGATATTGCTGTTGAATTGTAATTGTAATTGCATACGTTGTATTATATTATATATTATATTATATTATAATATATAATATAATATAATATTTATATATATATATATATATATATAAAATATAACATATAATATAATATTATATTATATATTTTACATAATATATAAAATATTATAATATATTATAATATTAATATAATTAATAATAATTTTTACTAGTAACGAATTTAATACAAAAAAAATAAAATGGTAATTACTAGGAAGTCGAACACTAGTATTGAAATTAGTTAGGTTTGGTCCATTGCCAGTTTTCTTCCTAAATTCAAGATGTACAATATTATAATATAATATAATATTTGTATATATATAAAATATAACATATAATATAATATTTACATATATAAAATATATTATAATATTAATATAATTAATAATAATTTTTACTAGTAACGAATATAATAAAAAAAATAAAATAAAATGGTAATTACTAGGAAGTCAAATACTAGTATTGAAATTCTTAGGTTTGGTACATTGCCAGTTTTCTGCCTAAATTCAAGATGTACAATATTATAATATATAATATAATATAATATTTATATATATAAAATATAACATATAATATAATATTACAATATATAATATATTTATTTATATAGAATATAATATTAATATAATTAATAATAATTTTTACTAGTAACGAATTTAAT